TAGTTTAAGAAATTAAACTGCTACAGTACATTATACAATATAAATTATTCTTATATTATTATTTATTTACTTATTCAAGACACACTCTTAAATGAAAATGAAATGCACTATCAAATAAACATCTGCAATGTATGCATTGATGCTCAATTTACAATCCAGATTGACTGTTAAAATGTTTGAGAGCTTGCTGATGCATGGACTATAATTCAATTTAATCTTTTGTAAGAAACTTTATCAAAAGTAATCTGAAAATCGAAATACACCATGTAATTTGCTCTGTGTGTGTCCGTTGTGGATGAGAAGCACAACTATAACATAATGCTGCTTCCACCATCCACAGTAAGGTGTGTGTGTGTGCGTGTGCGCGTGCGTGCGTGCTTGCGTGTGTGTGTGTGTGGATTGAGTGACGTACTATGTTGGGTTTTTGTCAAATGTAACTTAGACAAAAATGTTCCTGTTTCCTCTTGTCTGACAATAAAACCTTTTCCACATGTTTGCAGTATCACCTGCTGTAGGCGCTTTGGTGCAAAACCCATACGGCATTTCAGGCATTTTGTTAAGTGCAATATAAGCCCACTTTGTGGAATGATGGGATATCATTGACCCATGAGCTTTCCTCCCATCTCAGCCACTGAACTCTTTGGCCTTGTGGTGACATCTCTCACCTTCTTCCACCTTGCCTTGCTGCTGTTTGGATCTAGGCAGTCTGGTTGCACTCCATATTGCTGATTAACTTGACAATACTCAAAGAGAAATTAAAGGTTATTTTACCTCACTCCTGATCTATACAATTTCATCCCTGATTTGTTTTGAAAGCTTTTTGCTCTTCATTGGTGGATCTTTCTTATTCAACCTTACAGAGAGAGTTGAATTTACTCTGAAATCAATAAACCACTTCTATTGCACATAGACAGGCCTGTAGTTATTTAGAAGTTTCTTTATTGTTTTTTAAGTAATGATTTCATGGTTTGAACTTACTTAAACAATTTGAAATTGTATAGGAAATGGGATAAATTCACAGAGTACTTAGTTAATCAGAACAATTAGCAACATACAAATAGATTGCAGAATCCATGACAGATTTAACAATACAATTCGTACATTTTAATGCAATTAAGGCAATATAAGAGTAAATACAAATAATATGTCATGAAATACACAATGACTTCTGAATCATTCAGTGATTACAAGAGTTAACTAATTATAATTCTATAGCCAGTTTTAGCCACCCTTTTAAGAACACTCTCAAAATATAAGTACTGAAAGCGAGCAGGTAAAAAGTCAATTACTGAATTAACACATTAACAAATGCATACTTCTTCTCAGTAATAGTTTCATTCTCATTTAACAAAAGAGTACTGAATTAACACACTTGGCTGGGAGATGTTAACTAATTTCAGCAGTGAGAGAATCAGATGGACTTGTGCTGAAGCTTCCTATCTGCTATCAGTTGGGAAGAATGAGAGAAGAGGTCAGATGCTATAATGTGTTGCTTCTGTACAGGTGTTACTTCAGAGGTGGTAGCCTTCAATATTCCGTCAAATATCTACTACACCCCCAGTAGAAAGCCTGGAGGAGCCAGCAGAGAGTCCTGGTAATTCTGAAATGTTCCAATCCAGGGGGCCCATGATGATTTAAGAGATTATTAGATTTTAAAACTCAAAGAACACCACCTGCCACAGCACCTCTCCAGAGGTGGGATTAATCCAGGGTGTCTTCAGCACCCTTGGATGAGTAGCAGACCTGGGTCAGTGTGCATAAAGAGAGGACTGGACTTTAAATTGGGACTCAAATAGGGTGCTTCCCAGCCAACACCTACCGTCAGGCCCCCTAGAGCTTCAAGTCTGCTTCCTGACTTTCTTTCTATGGGAATGTAGACTTGAGAAAAGTGATCTGTCAACTCACAACTGTGGGGCAGATTCTAGTTTCTCACAGTGTGCCCAGCCATCCACAACCCACAGGCTCCATGGTCAGTGACTAGGAACTGTTTGGATGTTATACACTGTATAGTCAGTCTGTCATTTGCTGGGGAATACTGTATCTGGAAGGTCACTGTTATCCCAATGTTATCCCTCAACTCCCAGCTACTTTCTGGTGCCCAGAGAGGATAATCACTCCATGAGTTTGCTGGGGGGGGGGGTGTGGGTTCCATGTCCACTTCCTCCTTCTGGAGTGCTGCTTCCAAGCCTAAATATACTTAGTGAACCTGATGTCTCAGACGATCAGGGGTTATGCTATAATTGAAATGGTGGATGGTCAGCTCTCTGTGGGAATCCTTAAGAAACTAGGGGAAAGCTGTGCTCACAAGGTAGTGCAGGTCTGCTTTAATCCCAGAGTTTCTTCCTTGGATGCTAAAGAACAGATTAAGCTTCTCCTACATTCCACACACCCACAACTGTGATAAAAGGCTGCTAACACTGCAGAGTAATATACTGTACTTCACAGAGAGGTGGAGAGATCTGGAAGCACTACCCGTGCCTCCCTTTCGACAGTTGTTGCAAGCTACAGTATATGGCCTTCTCCAACCATCCATTAAGATTTGTGGCCATCTTGAATATGGCTTTAAAGTCTTCCCACCGTCCATCCTGGTGTAATGCCTGGATGTGAGCAGCGTCATCCTCTTGTGCCCATTACTTGAGGTCTTTGGCTTTGGCCCCACTTCTCGGTAGACTCAATGGGCCCTGGTGGGAACTTTGTTGTGTGAGCTGTGCTGTGCTTAGCTCCCTCCCACTCACAGCAATGTTTGGATGTGA